TTTTAGTCTACTTCAACTTCAAAGTTTAATTAATTAGGATAAAGTTACAGATCAAAATCAGATAATTAACTTTTTCTTTGACAGTGTTTGTGTATGGATAGATATACAACAAGGATTTTGTGTTTCTAAATTCAAATAACTATTATTTTCCGGTATTTAATATTGCCAGACATGTAGTTTTGATAATTATATCCTCACTGAACAACAACATAGATGCTGCAAATACTTAATGTGATCTAATAAACCGGCCGATTACCATTTTCTAACTTAAATTACAAACAATGAATTTATTTTTATCCATAGGCTTTGAAATTGTAAAAAAAAAAAAATTATTTCAACCTAAAAATTTAAATTATTAAATTGTAGAAATAGTTTTATATTACTTACTAACATTCCCCTTCGTTTAATTTTACACATAAGAGAGTTTTATGTTTTTTCTCTAACACATCATCTCTTTTAATTTTAAACAAAAGTCGAAGTGAGAGTGATAAAATTCGTACTTGTGATCATTTTTTCATTAAAGCTCGATATCATGTTAAATAATCGTTTCAATCTAAAAAATTAAATTGTTAAATAATGTCTTAAGCATGATTTTATATTACTCTTTGATAGAAACTAATAGAAATTGAAACACTTGATTAAGAGGTTGTTTGATATCATTTTTATTTTCAATTGCAATTTTTTTTTCAATTTTTAGTTTTAAAAAAAAAAAAATTGAAACTTGTTTGGTTGGTTAGTTTTTTGTTTTAGTTATTTTTCCCTACAAAAAAAAATGCCCTTAGTTTCAATTGCACACTCGCGTTATTGGGTTTGATTCCTAGGTTTTTCGGACTCAAAACTAAAGTGCGCCTAACCTAATGTCTAGGTGACATGGACATAATCTCGACCTAGCACCTTAGAGTTTCGTACTCGGTCTCGACCCAATCATAAGTGTTTCAAACTCGAATCTCATATTTGATCTTTGTACGCAACATAAGCACTCGATCTCGATCGTAACCAAAATCAAGCATGCTAGATTTGGTTCCGACTCGAAAATCTAATACCTCAAATCGGCCCTAGACCGGCCATTGAGCGCCCTAGATAGAGTCCCGACCTAAACCAAAAAGCATCCCGGACCGGATTCTTGTAATCACCAAGCGCCCCGGTCTCAATCCAAATCCCGTGCAACCCCGGACTCGAACCATGAAAACCTTGTATCTAGTCCCGAATCGACTCCCGAGTGTCCCAAATGAGGTCTTGGATAGACCCTAGTACTCCAAACCGAGTACTAAACCGACCTTCGGATGCCTCGAATTTAGTTTCAACCCAAACCCTAGATGCTCGAAACCGACTCCCGACCCAAACCCTCGACGTGATCCATAGTTATTTTTTGACTCTCGAACCTAACCTAACATCCAAAACATATGTTGATAGTTTAAAAAACTAGTTTTGAAAATTTTAGTTTTAAAAAAATTTCAAAACCCGTTTCCAATTTTTTTCTTTTTTAGTAAAAAGCAAAAACAAACAAGTTTTCATATCTTGTTTTCAAAAATTGAAAAACAAAAAGACAAAAAGGATGCCAAACAACTTAATAATTAATGTTGCAGACCTCAACTCACCCAAAAGAAAACCAAAATAAAATGAACATTGAAACCATAAACTTAAATTCATTTTTTTTCCAATATGAACAAAAATGAAAATCGTTCTGGCCATAGGTAATCTTTAAATGAGATACGTACACTGGTGGATAATAATGTGCAATATATATGATCACAAAAGAGTCGATAGCTATCGGATCCTAAAAATTTTCTACTTGCATATTATCTACGAATTTGCTAATTTCGAACTTATTTTAGTGTCAGGTTTTGAAACCAGCTATTAAGTATTGAAAAGCATTAAGAAAGTAGTCATTTTCTTATTATAACTTCTGAAACAGACCAAACATATTGTTGGAAGGAAAAATACCAAAAGTGATAAATTAGTTGGAGCTTAGGTTTACGCAAAGGGGGCTCTAATATTAAGGGTTTGGTATCATGTAATCAAAGCCCCAGTTGAAGTGCAGCTGGTCCAGTAGCTTTGTCCAACCTTTTTTTTTATTTTTTTGGATAAGTTACTACTTATTAAATCATACAAGTTAGTTTTATTGTATATATTATTATTTCCTACAAAGTTTTCTATATCATAGGCACTATGATATTTCCTTACTAAGTGAGTTTTTCATTATTGGTTTTTATTCATTTGTTTTTTTTTTTTCCCTCAAATGGTAATGGTCATATGCCCATCCAGCCAAATTGTGCATCAGTTTTTTTCATGCTTATTTCTTTTTTACGGTAACACCATATCTATGGCCAAATTGTGCATTGGCTAAGCCAGGAGTTTTTCAATTTTTTTTTTTTTTAATGGCAACGTATGTCTATCTAGCCATGTTGTGAGTTTTTCATGTTCAGGCTCTAATAGAGATTTTTGCGACATTTTAAACAGGATAGTGCTATATCCACTTAAAACGAAAGGAATGGTATTAGAAGACAGTAAAGTGAGACCGACTGAATATTATTTTAAGAGGTTATAGATAGTCTGTAAGGATGGATATTTATCTAAATATATCTAAGTAGAATTTTTTTTAGATAATTACTATTTAAAATCAGGTGTATTGATATTCAAAATTTTTATCCATCGAATAATAAATAGATCATAAATATTATCAAATCCAATCCAAAATCATATCCCGATATAAATAATAATATTATATACATATGTGAAAATTTTTGGTATTGTCGTAATTAATTTTAAAATATTGTATGAATAAGTATCAATGTTCATTTCATATTTTTCACTTTTAAAGGAGAAACAACACCAAGATGAAATAAAAAATTATATCTAAAACTTAAATAACAATAAAAAATAGCTTTACTTAGACTCAAAATATTTGATAAAGAATATTTTATTACCCTAGGCACAAAATCAAATCATTTGCTTATACATGAATAAATAAATATTTTATAAACAAATTTCAAATGCCACTTTTTTTCTCTACCTTTATGTATAGAAATAAATAATTAATTTCATTTGTATTTTTTTTTTTTTTTTTTTTTTGCTTTCTCCCACATTTTGAAAAAAAATTAAAAAAATCCTAAAATCCTTTTCTTTTTATCTGCTTTTTCCTTTTATTCTTATGTTATGAAAAAAATTTCATAAATTTTTCTTTTGGGTTTGGATTTGAAATAGATTTTCATAATAAATTTTTGAAATAAATAAAAAAAATTGCTTATGTTCTTTCCTATACATAAAAAATTTTTCTTTTTTTGTTTGAATTTAAGAGAAAGCAAAAAAAAGAGAAATGAAATAAATTATTTATTTCTATACATAAAGATAAAGGAAAAAAATTAGGATTTTGGAATTTTTTTTATTTTTTTTATTTTTTTAAATGCCACACGTCAGCATCATCCGAGTTTGTGGTCGAAAATTAATGTAGTTACAAAAAAATTTGACTGGAAGGATAAAATTAAGATACAAATTAAAAGTTGAGAGCCATAGAAATAAAGGGAGAATTATACACTTATAAGACCACACACGCACATACACAAATATATTTATACACACACGAGCAAATTATAAATTAATTCCTCGAGTTTCAAAATGAATTAATTAGTTTCTTTATTTTAAAAACTAATTATTTAGTCTCTATCTTTTAAAATTTTCTTATAACTTAATCATATTTAGTCTCTATCTTTTAAAATTTTCTTATAACTTAATCATTTTTATTTTTTTCAAATTATTTTGATTTTTTTATTTTAAGAAGTAGAAAAAAATAAATAAAAAATATGGAAGGGTTGATAAGAAAAGATGATATTTTTTTAAAATAAAATAAATATTAAACTAAGCATTGTCAATGCTAGTCAAGGAATTAAATAATTAGATTTTAAAACAATGGATACTAATTAATTCATTTCTTAAAAATAGAGAGACTAATTTATAAATTACTAGAATATACTAATATATCAAATAAATATTAAATTAAGAATGGTCATCAAGAAATAAAATAATTATACTAATTAATTCATTTCTTGAAAATAGATGGATTGATTTATAAATTACTCGGATATACTAACATACCATATTTTTCTGTTTATTTTACATTTTTTATCATATAATGGCAATAGTACAGCAACAATGCTTATTTTCTGTAGATTGGTGGATACTCTGAGTATAGTGTGGTGAATGCCCTGGCCCATTAATCAGTTACAGAAAAGGAAATAAAAACAAAGAAAAGCAAACCTTAAATTAGTCCACAACTATGAATTAACTGTCAATGTAGTCCCAAACTATTAATTTTCTGAATTGATTTCTTAAATATCATACATTTTTCAAATGGGTCTTCCTTTATATAACCGTCGCTCTTTTAATGAAAACGTCACGAACAAAAACAATGGCAGCACTGGTAATTTAACTGAATTTGTTGGCCATTTATTTCATACATATTGGTGGTGTTTTTGTTTTACAAATCATTAGCACTCCATCAAAAAACGTCCTACTTTTAAAATAATGTCTAATTCTACAAGGATTCAATTGTGAAAATTTGCCATTTTCGAGTGTGCCTGTTCTATAATTTCTTCGATTTGTTTTTTGCAAGTTTAATTTTTAAATTCCCATGGAAGTTGTCTTGCACATGAGTTATCCTTTTATCTTTTTTATCATGTATATAGTTTTTTTTTCCTCGTTTTGTAAGTGATTATTATTTTCTTCAAACTTTTAGCATGCAACATTTAACGAAATTTTTTAATTGATCTTAACGGAATTCGGTGGAAGCAGAAAATTTAAAATCATTCTGCAACGGGAAAAAGGGAAATTTTGTACACACGCTTATCAATAAAGACACACATGATCTTTTCATCAGTAATCACAGGTCAAAATTCTGATTGAAAAAAAAAATACAATTTGCTCAATGAATATTAATAAACTAAGTAGATTAGAAAATAATAATAATAATAATAAGAGAAGGGAAAGGAAAAACCACGATTAACTTAGGTGAGAACCGCCCACTCTGGATATGGACATTCATAAACCCATCCAGGCCCAGAATATTGCACACAATGTAGCCATAAACCCTCTTCATGACCATCATATCTACAAACAGTAAAATAAAGCTCAGATGACCCTTAGCTATCAGCTTATCATAATATGCAGCAAAAAAATATATAATAATAATAAACATATAAATTATAAATTGTTGACATGGGGCTGTATGGTGCATCATTTGTCGGAAACAACTAAAACAAAGAACTTATTTCTAGAGAATCCAGAAGTTACTAACATAACTCACATTCAAACTGCTACTCAATTTTGAAGTACTTAAATGTATATGTACCATGACAACTAAAAACCCTTGACTAGCCAACGGATGACCCATCAAACCAAAGGGGTGAGAGAGGTAATTGAGAAATGAAAAACTGCTTCTGGAAGGCCAGTTCAGCTTCGGGTGACAGTGTTTAGCATTGATCTGAAAGGACACCAAGGGAATTATGTAGTTGCTGAAAACATGTAAGTTTTCCCCATAAAAAAGAAGGTTCTCAATAAAGAATTGTTGATATTGGAGAATAGAGGGAGGGAATAAACAACTAGTTGCAGAAAAAAAAAATTCCTATAATTTTGTAGCAAGACAACCTGAAACTTCAAATGATTTAAATGGATTTCAAGTCACTGATATTTCTATGCAACAAAAGAATATCAGTTCAGTGAGATAAAAACCAGGAAGAGAAGGATCTAAAATTTTCCAACCAGTTGTTGCAGATTTCAGGAGATATCACATGCCTGGGCACACTTTGTTAAACTTTTACTTGTAATCCATATGGAGCATACCTTCCATCATTTCTCATATTAATTTCTTATTATGCGGTCTTAAGACATCACATATTTTATAGCATTGAATAGAGTTATTGTATGCAAATAAATCATAAACCATAGCCAGCAAAATAACCAAAAAAAAAAAAAAGTATGGGTACTGTACAATCTAATAGCATCTAACAAGCACATCATCATGGCAAAAAGTATCTTACCCTTTTGGAGCTAAATTTGGACAGTTGGTGCACACAGGATCAATGTCAAAATCTTCTTCAACATTCTCTACATACTTATCAGAACCATTATTTTCAGGCACAAGACAATTGCTTGGACTACGAGCAGCTCTATCAGCATTCATTCCTTCACTAGACCGATTGGTAATATTTTCAGATAGATAAAGAACGTCATTGGCTATAGGATGGCCTGTGTATTGCAAATGGACACGGATCTACACGAGAGAGAGTCACGAAGTAATTAAAGGAATGAAAAACTATAAATTATTGTAGATGCAGTACACATAAGGATTAAGCAGTAAAGAAAGAAGACTAAAAATTTCAATTGCATAAAAGGTATTTTGCAGTATGTTTGCTCTTACAAAGACAGTACCTGAGATATTAAGGGAAAAACGTAAGAAAATGTCTCTGGCGGGCAAAGAAGGAAAATGCCAAAAGGTTAAAACCGGTTGGAAATAACTTTTATGCAAAGAAGGAATGGGCTATAGCAAAGAAGGAAAACGCCAAAAGGATAAAACCAGTTGGAACCAAGTTTTATGCAAAGAAGAAATGGGCTATAGCATTAAGGGTTTGAGAACCATGGAATCAAGCCTCTGATATGAGATGCACCTGGTGCACTTTTATAAAATATGGTTCATTCTGGATGGCTTGGTTCAGCCTTATTTGTTAACTGACAGGAGCTTTTGGCATGCCTGTGTACCAGGGATTGTTCTCTGACTAAAGCTTAGAAGCAAAGCAAAGCCCTATGCTTGCAAGTTGTGATACCAGTTGAGACAATAACTCGGCTATGCTTTTACTTGGCATTCTCCTTGAGAAGTGTTGGGTGCCTATTATGCATGATCCAGCTCTGCCTATACACTCCGAAGTCTGTAGTTTGAAAAATTATTAGACTGGAGATAGTCTCCAGGAGTCCTGCTAGTTCCAAAGATCTTGTACATATAAAAGGGTTTATTTGGAAGCCTGTATCCTAAATTCCTAATCAAAGGAAAAGGAGATTGTGTTTCATGGTTTCTGAAAGCTAAATTGTTTTGGACGCTGCAAGTGCATGGGAATCCCCAAGGTCTATAGCCTGGAGAGTGGATTGGTGGAAACTAATTTGCTTTTCAAATTCAATCCTGGCTTGCCATTCTTAATAACTAGTCTACTCTACAAAGGTAAAGGAATGCACAAGTATCACAAATCTCAACTGCCCTTTTCTGGAATTAGAAAATAGAGGCTTGGATCAGGTTTCCTTCCCAAGCTCATTCACAAAGAGAGCATGGAAGTGATATTGCAAAAATGTCAAACATTCTATAGAAGGACAGGCTGAAGATAGGTATTGGGATTTGGGAATTTTCGAAGCAAAATGGCAATCTCAGGGGTAAACCCTTTCCACCTAGTTGCTTTAGCTAGCATTGATTTTTTTTTTTTTTTTTCTCATTTTTTAAGGAAAGAATGGTGCAGATGTCTTGGAAGGAAGGTGGTTCCAAATAAAGGAGGAAAAATAATCTTTCCAACACCAAAATAAAAAGGCCACTACTGACTTATGGTCTGACCAAAATGGTAAGAAGTGAGGTTTAAAACACTGGAAAGCGAAATTAAAACAGGGAAACAGAAATCTGAGACATCTATGCTCCAAGCAGAAGATTACAATATATCCAATTTGCTTTTGTGGTCAAAAATTTTTTTCTTACTTGATGAGTTCGGCCAGTGATCGGTTTACACAAAACAATGCTGTGAATTCCATCCGTACCTATCCTTGTAAAATTTGTACAAGCTGCCTTTCCCTTGATGGGAGAACCATCACAAGAGTTACCCACCTGCAAAGACGAACAAAAAAAAAAAAGTTACATACTCCATTTAGGCAATTTCTATTGTCTTATAGTTGATGTTTAACGAGGGTGTGAAAAGAAACGAGGCTTTGTTACTAATACTGAAGAGGGCTACAAATGAAGCAAAACTAATCCTAGGGTTAAGGCAATCTGACTAATAAGCATCATGCACAAGAACAGCATCGCATACCAACAGCTTAGCATTTCCCATAGCCAATAACAATATTACTAACCAGCACCATAACCATGCATGCTCATGCGAAGAAACATCAATTTTGCCACTTTGCAAATACAATAAACGCAAGAAACATAAAGCATGCACCAGGGCACATGTGCAAACACAGAATCAGAAACACACTCGAGGCCCACTCACACAAAGTTTAAGAGCAATGGATGAAAAATATAACACCAAGACTCGCACACAAGCACTCTCAAACTTAGAGCTATGCAATGACAAATATAACACCATGCCACAGGTTCAGAGCAGAGAACACCAAGAAACTCCTAGAGGTGATGGAAACGAAAAAAGACTAACAATTCCATGTTAAAACCTATCTAGAAAGACCAAAAAATTTGGAACAAAAGTTCTCTTCCATGAGAATGACCCTTTCCGCCAGATACGAGCCACTCCAGCTCCATGGCATGTGATCAACCAAAAAGGCAAGTGAAGACATCTACAGTCCACTATAATTAGAAATGACAGCTTCACAAAACAAAGCACCCATTTAAGAAAGTGATGCTTCAGAAGATGTGTGAAGCATCAAATATGGTATCCGTCCTGATCTCAAAATAATATTGGAATGAACTAATGTAGGTATCGCTCCATAGCATGTCAGTTGCATATGGAAATATCATTCCTGAAATGTATATTCACACCTTTAGTTGACAGGGAGACCAGACAACAACACGATCCAATGATAAAACAGCGACAACCCTAATGCACAGAAGAGATGAATAAAAAGCCTCACCTCTGCAGTGCTCCTTCCTTCTCGAGCATTGTAATTAACGTTAACATCAACAATTTGCTGAAATAAAACGCATAAGGTTAAGCATTAACTAAAAGGGCTTACTTTTAAAAAGAGACAGCAGCATTATCAGCAGCATATCAGCATATTATGAAATAAGACATAAACATTTGTGTGTATGTCTAGTTAATAAATGAATATGCATCTGAATGCCACAGGTTCTGGGTTTTGGCAGATCACTACTTAGAAATAGTAGCATCTAGCAATTGCAGACCAGTCTTTTTTTTTCTAGCATCTCATGCTAAATATCTATTTTACAAAAAAAAAAAAAAAAAAAAAGATTAAACTATCTTCTAGCGATTGTTAGCTAAAAAATCATCAGATATGAATGTAGTTCTTATCACAGGCCACAGGCATGTATTACCTCGTCCTCAGGAAATACCCCAACAACCTTTGCAACATAATGTTTCTGTACCTTGCCAGCTTCAATCTGCAGCAATCACATAACAAGAGGGAGATATCCCTTAGCAGATGCATGAGTACAGATATATGATGTCATGCCAGCAGATTCAAAGAAACATTTTACCTATAAATGTAACAAAGATATAACAGTATGAAAAATACCTCTTGCCTAAAAAGGTCAGCCTTTGTAGCATTTCTAGCCAAGATAAGGAGTCCTGAAACAAGCCGATCTAGCCGATGAACCGCTGGCATGACCATCTCAAGGGAAACAAAACCCCAAATAGAATAGAAAAACCAGACAAAACAGATTCAAGAACAAAAGAAGACATATTGAAGATTTTCAATTCAGAAATTTTAAGAACCTCATGGAAATGGAAATAATTTTTATTAAAGGCTATAATACTTGCTTCCAAATGTATTGTGTTCGGATACGAAATAGGGGTGCTAAACCATGTTCGGCCTGGAGAATGCCAACAACAGTATTCTTGCGATATTGACCACATGGATGCACCTATATAACAATAGAAACTGTAATCAGCACCACAGAAAAAGACAGAGACTACCCTATATCAGATGGCAGTGCAGAGAATTTCAACTCTCTCCTCAAATCACGCACAACATATGGAAGCAAGATTTTTTTTTTTTTCATTCCTAACACAGACTTACATAAAAATCAAATGAAATTTAATCATTTTTATTGACAATATTCAAGCAAGCATCACAAACTGATATTAGCTCTGTCACAGAGTTATTCATAACCATACATAACTTGCCCAAGGATGACTGGTTCCATCAACAGAAAGCCTAGAAAGGGATGCCAAATCATGATCGAAAGACAGATACATTTATACATGGTTGTTTCCAGTTCTTCTGTCATATTTTAAAAACAATTGCAACATAATTGCATGTTAAACATGGCAAGGAACAATTTCTCCTTCATGCCTCTCACATCAGAAATGGTATAGCAATTATAAGGAATAAGAAAAAGAAATGGAGGAAATATCATCAAACAGTTATATCAGATCCTTGACAAGGTTAGTTTTATGGACTAATTTCACATGGAAATATGCTGTAGACCATCTAGTTCCCTAAAATCAATCTAAAGTTTTAGTAGAAAAATACACATAAATAGGCCTGTTCAAAATTATTTGATGTGTGTATGAGAGAAGGAAGGAGAAAACAGCATATTAAACTAATCCCAGCACTAATTTTCTTCCTCAATAATAAAATGCAATTAAGCCTGCCAAAAAAAAATTGATGAACTATGAGCAATAAGAATAAAAATATATACCTTAGAACCAAACAAAGCCACAAAATAGCAATAAACAGACTGATAGAATAACAGCTTTATAATTTTATCTTCAAAGTATCAAATATAATGATGTCAATGTCATCTATGAGAAGAGAAAAAACCAAGTCACTGATAACTCACAGGTACAGTTGCTGGCTTCCAAACAGTTACAACATCATCTTCTTTATGAAGAATAGGAACATCCCAGGCCATCACCGGCGGTTCATGCCTACAACCTTTGCAACATCAATTCAAAGTTTGATACAACTTCAAATAATAATAATAATAATAATAATAATAACAGCTGTGCAAGAAAGCAAATTTAAAAAATTTACTCATGCAGGAACAAGAGCTCTAATTAAGCTAAAATCTATCCAAAAATTGTGTATCATAAACTAGCAAGAACGACATCATCAACCAAGCAAAAGCACACACCTGTGCAAGAAATGGCTTATCTTTTGTGACGATTTAACTATATACGAAACAGGAACCATCTCTCCATCAACTTGTATCCGTCCACAATTAACAGCACCAACCTACATTACTCCACAAATACACAAAATTCCCAAACTCAAACTCATAAAACTTCTAATAAGATAAATAATAATAACTAAATGAAATATTGAGTTCATAATTACATAATATTCGTAAGGTCTGCCTTTGAATTCTTCCGCAAATAAATCCACTATCGTCTTCCCCGCCCACCGGTTTTTTACCTGTATACAGAAAAATGAAGATTATTAGGGTTTTAATCTTAGCATAAAAGAAAGTGAGCGAGTTACAGTGACTGACATGGGAGATAAACTCGAAGTAGTAAGGTTTGACGTGGCGCCTCCCTGCACAATTCCCGCCAAAAAAACAATAAAACAAAATTAGAGTACATTTTTTCTCCTTTAAATTAAGCTGCTTTTGTAGTGTGATTTTGATTAAATTACCGTCACGAAAGATGTAATCGCGTTTCTCAGGAGGATTGGCTGGTGTTTGCCACACAATTTCCATCTTCTTTTCTTGTCCTTTTTCTCCCCTCTTTCTCTTCATTTCTCTCAATTATTTTGGGCTTTTAGGGTTTTGCTTCAGTGGATGACGGTAGCTACATGCTCCATACAATCTATTCAGTTAATTAGTACGACACGTCGTGTGCTCAATATTTAAGTTACAAACGACGCGTGAAAAAAGGAAAAGAAAAGAAAACTGCGTCGTTTGGGTGCAAATTGGCAAATTGAGAAAAGAAAAGCACAGATTTGATTTGTCGTCTTCTTCTTTGTTTCAGTTCACCAACAAAACAACAAACGAAACACCTACTCCCCCTTCACTACAAATCCAAGTACTTCTTGTTTATCTTTTTCAAGAAACACAAAGAAGAAGAAGAAGTAGACTGGTTGTCTTCAATTATTTTTAAAAAAGGTTGGATTTGCTTTAATTTCTGTAATATCTCTCTTTTTTTGGTTTCTTTTTAGATCTGTTAATTTTTGGTTGATTTCTTTTTGTTTTGTGTGTGTGACTTTTAGGTGGTTTTTTTGATTGGGAAAATCAAGAGTGGATTATTATTATAAACGTGATAGTAATTGATAGGAGGAGGTCAAAAGTCAAAGGAAGGAAGGGGAAATGCCGGAGGAGGATTTGGTGGATATAAAGTTCAGGCTTTATGACGGGTCGGATATCGGGCCGTTCCGGTACTCATCAACATCTACTGTTGATATGCTTAAGCAGCGGATTGTTTCTGATTGGCCCAGAGGTTTGTCTTCTTTTTTTCAATTCACTTTCCTGCTTTTTCTTTCAATTGGGTCCTTTTTTTATTTGTTTTGATACTTAAGTAACTGGTTTTTGGAAGAATTTAGATTAATTTTGAGTGAATTTACCTAATTTGGGAGAATTTTATTGATTCTAAAATTGGGTTAATTTACTTTAATTGGAAACATTTAGGACCATTTTTAGTACCCAGTGATTGAAATTCAAGTTGGGTTTCTTTGGGTTTATTTGGGATGTCGTTGAAAAAAGTGAGGGTTCAAGTAGTTTGACGTAAATGGTAATTCTTTACTTTATTGTTAAAAAATGGGTGAACCCAATTGATAATGCTTTAATATTGATATAGAAAGTTTGAGTATTAATCTATCTAGTAATGTTGTGACAAGTTGTTGGTTTAGAGATGTTATTTATGTTGTGTTATTTATGATGTGAAGCTGTCGGTGTTTGTAGTGGTGGCTTACGTTTGTTGTGATGGCTTACATAATTGTGTAGTGGTTCGACTTAACAGAGTAGTAGGTTTTGTTTTTGGGGTTTGTCACTATGGTTATTATTGGAAATAAATCGTGGGAAATTTTCCTGACTTTCGTTAGTATTTGGTTATGGCTTGCATTGCTGCCTGATTAAGGTACACTTATTTAGCGTGAACCGGTAACATATGATTGGATTGCAGTCTAGAACTGTTACAGTTGAAGAATATATTGTGAAAGTTTGAAGGTTTTGAGCTCAATCTGGTTATGTGACCTGATATAGTAGTAAGGATGGTGCATGTGGAATCAACGAGATAATACAAGCCTCCAAAAATATGCAAAAGAGATCCTTAGAGATGCTGTTCTCTATGTAAACCCTGATCAGCCAATTCTTCTTCTTTTCCAGGCAAACATGATAAAATATTATTAGATTCCAAATTTAGAAATATTGACAGCTAAGAAAGATAAAGATCTCTTCTTGTTTTGAAAAACCTATCTACTTCTGGGCAAGAATGTTTTTCATTCTTTTGGCTATTTTTGGTTATATTTTTCTGAATCATCTTTTTTTCCCCCTTTTAGGCAAAACAATAACTCCCAAGGCAGTGAATGAAATCAAGCTGATAAGCTCTGGTAAAGTCTTGGATAACAACAAGACTGTTGGCCAATGTAGAACACCTTTTGGAGAAGTGGCCGGGGCAGTAATCATAATGCATGTTGTTGTACAGCCATCTCTAGCAAAAACCAAAACAGGTATTTTCTATTTTAAATCATCTGTCTCACATAACAACCTTTTCCTTTGCTTCCTGAATTGTGTTTTTGATTGGCTTGATGGTTATATATGGACCTCATGGTATTGAATGACATGATTCAACATCTGATTTGGATTCCAACATACCCTCTTTTTAGTGAAAAAAATTCATATTTTTTACTTTGGTGTGCACACGGTGATTACTATTTTTATGTTTAGCTGGAGGTTTCTTGGGCTCTGGTTAGATATTATCAACGAGGAAGATATAGAATTTTGAAATGGTACCTTCAAATGTCATTGGACTTAATTTCATAGTTCCAAAGTAGCTCAAACTTACAAAAGGGCAGCTTTCTTTTATCCATGCATATGCTTCAGATGTGTGTTTTCTCCTTGCTCTTCTAGTGTCTCTCCATATTTATCCTTAGAGGTCTTCTGTATGAAGGGCGAAGAAGGTATTTATAACCATCCAGACTACTCTAATGGGCTGAAGTCAAAGGAAGTTCATTGCAGATCCAAGTTCCACCAGTTTACTTCCCTTTGAGTCCTTCTAACAAATGGTGATATGATGTCCCAAGAAATGACGATTTATTTTAACTAAATTTTTCTAGTTTCTTGTTAGACAAGTCTAAATGGCCAATTGTACATTCTTTGCAAGGGGATCTCATTTTCATGACTAATTTATTATTTCTTGTTCCAATGGTCAGAATAATTTGGTTTTGAGTTCCATCAAGTTATGAACAAAGAAACGGAACCTGTGATCAAATTTCGATTAGTTGGTAAATTGTAGAGGACAAATTAGAAGTTTTCTCTGCTCCTCGAATATGTAATAATCACACGCTTCTCTGTATACTTATGTTGAGGTTTCTATAGCCTCAATCAAAAAAAAAAAAAAAAAGGAGGAGGAGTGTTCATTGGCTCGGCACTCCTGTATGTAACTCTTTTTATATGCTTATTTTCTCAACTTCTTAATCCAACTTCAACCTTTAAGCATTCTCTGCCTTGGATATTGACTTGTGCCTATGCTAATAATGCAGAACTCCATTGACACTTAAAATTTTCCCTCGGGTTGTATCCTCTTAAGTTAAATTTAGCAACTTGAAAACCTTGCAGCCTATTTTTTGTTTCTAACTATATACATGATTTCCTTGTTTGTAGTCTTTTCTTTGACGCTTGGCCTATTTTATGGAGACTGGTGCATTAGTCTCTGCTATTTAAGCTTCTTGCTAAAAAGCTTCTTATTTTAACATACACTCGGTGGCTTTCCTTGTACAGAAAAGAAGATTGATAATTCTCCGAAGAAAATTGTGTGTTCGTGTTCCATAATGTGAAGGCAAATCTGTAGATATTTGGAGAATTTTACCCTTGGTACCAACACTTTAGGTACAGCAATTGTTTTCGTTGAGCATCCTGTGTTTTGTCGTCGCAATATTCATGTCTATTTGTAAAAGTCTCCAGTGGTCATGTGTTGTTTCTTTCCCTTGTTCCTTCCTTCTTTTTTCCTGGTTTGTTCTTTAAAGACGAAGATTTGTACTAGTAATAGAAAGTTGTATACGCCCATTGATGTAAAGACAAGTTCCGTAATCATATATCAAAGAGAAATACTGGTGTTAATGATGATGCAAATTAACTTCGTGGATGGATTTGTAGTCCTTCCTACCCGTAGCAATTTTTGCCGTGCAAGATTGATAATTTTGTTTAAATTAAAATGGCACGCATCCAAGATGACTATAAGTATACAACATCAGATGTAGGCAAATGTTATTATTAAGGGTAAATGACACACTCGACTAACCAAGTTACAGAAATACTGATTCTCAATAGATTGAGCTGACTAAAAACAATTACCTACTCATAATCTACAAAAAGGGCAATCATGCAATAGAAAGGATGGGAAAACAAGAAAAAAGAGATGCATCAACAATCAGAGAGAGTGAGAGAGAGAGAGATGCAGGGACAAAAGCTCTAAATCCGCCGGAGAACTTTCTCAGCTGCTGCTATTGTCTTTTGGATATCTTCAGTAGTATGTGCCAAGCTTGTAAACCCAGCTTCAAATTGTGAAGGTGCAAAATAAACACCTTCCTCCAACATTCCTTGGTAAAATCTGGCAAACTTTGCAGTGTCACTTTTCTTTGCATCAGCAAAGTTGTAAACGGGCCCTTCTGTGAAAAAAAACCCAAACATTCCACGTATATACCCGCCACAAATTGCATGCCCAGTTTTCTTACCAGCATCAATAATGCCTTGAACAAGTTCACTGGTGACCTTATCCAAGTATTCATAACTTCCTGGTTCCTGCAACCGCTTCAGTGTGTGTATCCCTGCGGTCATAGCCAAGGGATTCCCACTCAAGGTCCCAGCCTGGTACATTGGCCCTGCAGGTGCAACCATCTCCATAATCTCCCTTCTCCCACCATATGCACCAACAGGAAGTCCACCACCAATGATTTTCCCTAGTGTTGTTAAATCAGGAGTTATGCCAAAATATTCCTGAGCTCCACCATATGACAGACGGAATCCAGTCATAACTTCATCGAATATTAGAAGAGCATTATTTTCTTTTGTGATCCTGCGAAGGGCATTAATAAATTCAGGTTTAGGGGGAATGAAACCAGCATTTCCCACAACAGGTTCAAGGATTATTGCACAAATCTCTCCTTTATTGTTCTCAAAAAGATTCTCCACAGCAGCAATGTCATTATAGGGGGCTGTTAGAGTTTCATAAGTTGCTGCTTTGGGGACACCAGGTGAGTCAGGGAGCCCAAGGGTTGCAACACCACTACCTGCTTTAACAAGGAATGGATCAGCATGGCCATGGTAACAGCCCTCAAACTTGATAACCTTCTCTCGTCCAGTGTAGGCACGGGCCAGGCGAAGCACACCCATGCATGCTTCTGTGCCTGAGTTAACAAACCGTACCATTTCTATGCTTGGAACTGCTTTGATCACCATCTCTGCCAAAACATTCTCTAGAAGACAAGGGGCACCAAAGCTGGTTCCTTTTTTCATTGTTTCAGCCAAGGCTGCAAGTACCTGTAAGTAAATGTCAGTCCACAAGATTGGAAAACAAAACCAAAGGCTAAACTATATTCCATGGCCAATATTCGGTAGACTTTCAAGACAAACAAACAACAAAGAAATGGTCCGTCTGCCACAAGTAGGCTTCTTTCCATTCATTCAGGCAAGAGAACGAAAACCTTTTCTGGATAATTAAGGAATGGCAATCACCATTTTCATTCATTCCTAGATTTCCAACAAAAACATAGTGATGCACCGCTTCTCTAATAAAAATGGAACATAAAAAATTATAAGAGAAAGACGAACGTCATAAATACTGAAAATGCAGTGGTGGTGAAGAAGAATAGAACCTCGTCATCTGCATGACCAATTATAGCAGGCCCCCAAGAACCAACATAATCAATGTACTCATTTCCATCAATGTCCCTCATGTGAGAACCCTTGACAGAATCAATCACAATAGGTTGTCCACCCACAGATTTAAAAGCACGTACAGGTGAATTCACACCTCCTGGCATCATTTCCTGCCAAAAAAACACTTACATCAGCCAACAATCAGAGAATTCCAGAACACATTTAACTATGAGATAACTTTGAGCTACAGTTCTCCAAAATCAACACTTTGATCTCTCAAATCAAACTCATACCAGCAATAAACCAACTTCAACACCTTAACCAAATCCAAATCTACAAAGACTCTTATAATGCTCATAAAGGAATTAAACATAGGCCTCAAAAAGTCAAAATTGGAAACTGGAGACCTCAGATTGACATAACAATCAAAACCCATTATTAATAAAGTAAAAAATCGAAAGGGTAGTGATTTATTTTTACCTTAGCTGCACTGAAAGCTTCTTCAGATTTTTTAAGAGTGAAACTCCTCTTCTTTTTCTCTTCTTCAACAGAAACAGTCATTTTAATGCTGCAAAAAGACAACATTGATGAAGAAGGATTTCTTGTCTGAGAAAGCTTCCTTGTTGTAGAACATGAAAGTCCTAAACCAACACTAGCACCTGTAATTGTAGAAGCCATTATTTTTAGACTGGTTTTTCTCGTTTGATTTTTTGGGGTTTTCTCAGTCTGTCTGATCAAGATGACGAAAAAGATAGTGCAAGAGAGAACAACCAATGGATCTTTCACTTGTAGGTTTATATAGGGCCAAACCTCACATGGGCCAGGTCTTCGAGTCGGTACGGTGGCTTTTTTTGAATTCAGCCTTCTCCATTGCCTGGTTGACCTATCATGTCAAAGAAAGGCATTTTTGTTGGAATTTTAGATTAATAAAGTTTTTATTTTTGAAATTTTTGATAAATAATAATAATATATTTTAGAACCTTTTTTTTTTTTTTCATGTAGGTGAGGTTCGGAGGGCTATGTTGGAATTTCAAGAAAGAGATTTTAATGAAATCATAGAAACAGCAAGATTTTTCTAATAAAAAAATCTTAGCTATGTTCAAAAGTAACGAGGTGTAAATCAGGCAAGAAATGGGACAATGATAAAAGAAATAACAAAAATCTCTATTCTAGACACAACTTGATTGATATGAAAGGAAATCTTAATGTTTTTTTTTAAAAAAAAGGTTTGAAATAGACAAAAAATCAAATTGGATAAAGATATAATATATTAAAAATATAAATATAATATTAGCAACTACTCATTAATTGTTTTCATATACTTATCGTTTTTTCACAAAATTAATCTAATACTTGTAAAAGATGAACAAAAACTTATCACATAATTATTTAAAGAATAGTTGTCAATTTAGAAAATAAAAAGAATAAAAGTAAAGAACGTTATCTGTCATTTAAAGCAAATAAAACCTAAATCTAAACCTAGTGCTATTTTTTTCTTATTTTTTAGATTTAAATTTGTTTATGTTTTAAAAAGATTATATTTATTAGAAATAATATTAATATTAATTTTAAATTGAATTATTATCAGACTCGATGGAGATAAATTTATATTTGGTCTATTTAATAAAAAATAAATTAGATTTGGATAAGAATCCAAATCAAATTATGAAAATTATATATTAAATTCATTTAATTATATCGAATAATAGATTAGATTTGTATAAGAATCGAAATCAAATTATGAAAATTATATATTAAATTCATTTAATTATATCGAATTTGAGTCAGAATCCGATCCATTAACAACTTTGTCTCCAAAGAAAATTTTCAATGTTTCTTATGAATTCAAGTGACTTAAAAGAGGAATAGAGGAGAAATAATGGACACTAGTTAAAAAATATACATGTACTGGATTAAATCTTTATATTTAGGGGCAACTCATATTTTTTGAACAATCTCGTTTTAAAATCCTATTTTTGTATCAAATCGACAAATTGAACTTTATGAAATAATTTTATTAATCTAATTGTAGTGACATTGTTTTGCTACATTGAAACTTGCTGACATGGAAAATATTAGTTATGAGTTATGTGGTACATCATTTTAGCTAAGATGCTCAACCTATTATTATTTTTTTTTTTCAAAAAATTATAGTAAAAATGGTTGGTGTGAGACCAAAGAGGAGTCACATGACTTTCTACCAAAACCTTCAAATCGCATGTTTAACAGTTCTTTTCTTTGTAGTTTTCTATAAACCTATGATTCTGGATTTTTTATCACGTGATTATGTGATTCTCACATCAAATTTATTTATTTACTTTTTTATTTTCAAAAATATTTATTTTTTATTTTTTAAGTGAGATTTAGCATCTTAATAAAAAATATATTTCACATAACTAATAATTTCCACTTTATCAAGTTTAAATGAAGCAAGTAAATGTTTAAATGTAAAGAATATATTGTTGAATTAGAAAAATTATTTACACATGGTAAATTTGCTAAGTTGATACAAACAAGAGGTATCAAAATTGGAGGTTTGTCCTATTTTCTTATTTTTTATAAATAAAATTTATCTGTCCATGTCTTGTAACATGAGAACCATAATCTATACAAATTTAAAATATTTTGTGCAAAGAAATATGTCTCCGCCTTGCTTCTCATTGTTACACTTTATTTCCAAAACGTTCTAAATTCCATCCTATCATAAAAATAATCATACAAACGGTTGAAATGGTATTCATATGTATCCCTTGTAACGAACACTATCATTTTCATCCTTCTTGTATACAAAATTCACTTCATCCAAATTCGTTAGTGTTGTTTTAAAGATTTTGGATAATTAGGATCCATGACATGGTAAATTTTCAATTCACTAAGGAGGAACTTCATCTTATCTTTTTAGCAAATGAAGATGTAATTGCCATCAAAACTGTTAGAAAAATATAGTTTGGGAAATTGA